TCAATATCTTGGAAATGTCCTAATTTCTGAGCCCATAGAGATGCTTTATGATGCTTTCAATGGGATAACTTAAACATGGAAAGACCTGGTGCCTTCAGATATTTATCAGAATTATTTATGAGAAACACAAAAATCTGAAAAAAAATCTTGTCTAGCAATACTTAAATATTTTATATTAATAGAGTTTAAATTTGTTTATAGACATTTAATGTTCATCAAATTAGTAATGAAATAAAATGCTTATCATATAATATTAATGTTAAAGTCAACAGATGAAGGTGTACTCAATATATAATTTCACCCTTAAAAAATACTTTGACTTGGGGAAAAGATTAAAACATATTTATCAGAAAATAAATAATGCTTTTTTAAAAAGTGGTTTGATTGTTGATGTTCTTAAACTTACTTTTTGATTCTTTTCTGCAGTTTCAATTTTAGCCTAAGTATTATATATTCTTTCTCAAATGAAGAAAACTTATTAAAATATGATTTTTTAAAGCAACATATAAAATCAAGGCCACATAACTGCACCCAGATTAAGAGCCCTCCTTGCACAGAGACGAGGAGCTGGATCTCAGAGGAATGAGGGCCCATCAGGCAGCCTCAGTAGGGCACAAGCTGGCATTTTCACAGCGAGTTCCCATGCTATAGAGCTTCTGGTGCACAAAAATCTCTGTTAAACCACAAGATAGACTTGATTGCTGTGTTTCCATAAGGCCAGCTCCACCACCACCACTGTGTCAACGAAAGACTTAGGGTTGTTGCTTTAACATTTCGATTGAGGATGCTAATCCAAATCAGTCCACACGCAGAAATCGGTGCTGGCACTTTTCACCACTGTCAATTCCTACAGTTTCTGTGTCTCTCCACTATGCTGTGTTAAGTCAGAACCCTGCCGCACTGGCCAGGGGCGTCTGCTATGGGCAGTGCCTCCCTCATAGGAGAACCATCTTCTCCACGTTCTGCCCGCTCAGGCAAAGATACAGCACAAGTGGCATTAAAGAGAGATTTTTCTAGCTGACACTAGGATGAGTCTCTTTACTCATAGGAAATAGGTATGTTTCCTGTTGGAGATTACTATGACTCTGCCATTATAACAAAAAAATTCTATAGAGTATTTGCTTCTAAAATTCAAGCAAAACTTCACTTGAGATAATAAAGCATTCTCTGCTCAAATAGGCCGGAGTAAGCATGTGGACAAGTGCATAAAATGCAGCTATTTCTCCTCAATTTTTCAGGTTAATTCTTTATAATGTCCAGATAACACATGTCTTTACTTTTCTCATTATCCACCACCTTAGTTTCCTGTTCCTCCATCAAGATTTCTTCACTGCATAATGTTATTGTTCTATTTTTAAAGAAATACTCTTTGCTTTAGGTAACAAAGAACAAATCCTAATTATTTGCTGCCTGAATTCTATCCTTGATTTTTCATACTTTCCAAGTAACTTATATATCAAAAAAATGAATGCTATGGTTGCAAACACTTGTTTTGAGTGAGAAGATATGTCTTTCTGTGGCAATAAATGATACATTATCTGGTAATTCTTCACTTACAGAAGCCTAATCCAAACAATATACTATTTTATTAATTTAAGTGTGACTAGTCATTTCTAATAATAAAGTGATTATTCATGCAGGGCCCCACTGAACCTACACATATGTATTATCTTTACTACGCTACCCAAGAAAATGCCTAAGATCTCGCAAGTGAACAACCTTGCCCAGGGCCAGGATCACTGCGAGTGAGTGATCAAATGAAAACTGAATGATCAGGGAAGACTTTTTCCCTTCCTTGGGAAAGCAAGTGCTCTGGGAAGATGACACAGAGCATTTATGACACGTCAAAATATAAACCAAGCCTGGGCCTACACAACACACGTCCCCTGGAGAATGAGGCAATTTTACTACAGCGATAGTAGTGACCCAAGGGGAGCATCCGAGAATGTTCAGCCTACTGGAGAAGTGAGCTCCCCTCCTGTAATCATAATGACTATCATATGTTCACTCTGCACCCTGCCTCAGACCTCCAAGCATCGGCATTCATCCCACCTCTTTCCCTATCACAGCAACAGACAAGGTCTTTTTTTTTTTTTTTTTTTTTTCAAAGTGCCAAGTACAATCTTCTCTACCTGTGTTCTACTTTGTGCCTTCAGAGACTTCATCCAGTGAATTATCCTGCTTTGCTTAGGTATTTTCCACAATTCCCTTCCAGGTAGAATTCTCTTTTCTACATAGAAATCGCTGTCACATTCATAGTTAAAATATTTCTTTCTAAGATAACTTTTCCTAAACACTTTCCATTTATATCATAGCTCTGTGACAAAGAGAAAGCCAATAAACAGTGACCCTTCATTCTCATGCTGTGCTCGGTTAACCCCCTGCCAGTTAGCCTCTATCCTGCAAAACAATGAAACTCAAGGCTTCAGCCACATAAATCCATAGTCTACATTGATTTCTCTGAGCTCTAAACTCATCCATCCAACGTCTTATGACATATTCTCCCTTGGCAACATCAAAGATATCTCAAGGTCAATCTGAATGAAAATTTAACTCATCACCTATCTCCTGTAAGCATTCACTTTCTATCTGATTACTGTCTGGGAGAGACAGCTACCCTCTGCAACTCCAAATCCTGAGGTTATACTAATTTAATCTTCTCCTTCACCTTGAACTTTTAACAACTCCACAAACTCCCTCTGCTGTTAAACTAATTCTTAAGTATACCCTAATCCTCTGTTTCCTGTATTGTTCTCTTTAGTTAGGACTGATGACTGGTCTTGCCTAAACTATCAAAGAATCTAACTAGATTTTTCTGTTTCCACCCTCATCTTTTTAAACCTACCTTCCTTTCTAAGTGTCAGAATGACTTTCCTAAAATTAAAGTTGCTTAAAGTCAATCAGTGATTTTAAAATTCAAATCCAAGCTTTCTAGCATAATAATAAAATCTTTCATCATCAAACCATGATGAGATTTCTAGTCTCATCTCAACCAACTGCCGTTTGTCTGTATCCTGGACTCCAACCATATCAAAACACTTCAGATTTGTCAAATACATCCCTCTTTCCCAAGACTGTTTGTACATCTTTTCCTTTTGCCTGCAAACATTCTTGCCTCTGTTTTTCTTTTAGCTAAATTACATTAAAACTTCAAAGATTACTCCAGTGTAGTATTTCCACTGAAGTCTTTGGATACTGCCCCCAAATGCTTCCAGACCTATGTTGACATTATTTTTCTCTGTGCTCCCAGGGGATGCTGAGTCCATCACTTTCTAGAATGTTTTAAAAAATGGAATAAGTGCACTAAACATGAGATCTAGCCTCTCAATATAATAGTGTTAACAGTAAGCATGACTGTGTATAACAGCTATCAATAACTCAGTCATCTTGTATAGCTGAAGCATTACACAGTTTGATGGCAATTGTTGGATGGAAATTCATTTTCTCCCCTTTCCTCAGCATTGTATATCAGCATTTTATTGTTTTATATTTTAGTTTGAATAATCAGGGACCTCTTCTAAGTGGAATCATGTAACACTTGGGTTTCTGTAACTCTTCACTTAGTCCAATATCCTCTATATTCGCAATGTTGCAGATTGACTGCAAGACTTTTTCTTTTTATGGCTGAATAATATTCTACCATATGCATTTATCTCATTATCCAATCAGCTTTTAATGAGTTTGTGTCGCTCCCCACTTGGGCTATAGTAAGTACTGCTGCAATGTACATGAAAGGCTAACTAATACTGCCTCAAGAAGCTGATTTTGTTTTTTTAAAAGAAAATAAAAAACAATTTAAAAAATTACAAATGATACAAAATTTCACTAAACAAGATGATGGGAATTCAACAATGATTGTTATGTTGCAATCTTCGAATCTGTTGTTCAGATTAACAGATATAAGCATGGAAAATTAATCAAAAAAAGAGAAAGAAAATTAAGCATTAACTGTTCCTTTCAAAATCCTGATACAATTCTTTTGATTAAATACCTAGAAGCAGGCTGACTATGTTATATTACCAAATTTCATTCAATTCAGCAGTATAGTACCAACCTAGAGCTATATGAAAGATTCAGAAATGCCTCTACACATGGATAGTCAGTTTGTCTTTAACAAAGAATACAGATCTGGAAAGGGCTTTCAGCAAGCAGTGTCAAGAAATTGGATTTCCACATGCAAGAGTGGGACTGTACCCTTACCTTATACTCTAAACAAACTCTGGCACAAAATGCATCAAAGACTGAAACATAAGACCTACAACTATGGAACCCCAAAAAGAAAACATAGGGGAAATGTTCCTAAGAATAGTCTGGCAATGATTCATGGATAGGACACCCAACTTGCAGGCAAACAAAGTGAAAGGAGGTGAGTGGGGCCTACTTATTGAGCTGAAATCTTCTGCACAGGGAAATAAACAATCAGAGGTTAACTATTCTGGAGCACTTTTCACTGATTTGGCTTTGTTGCTTTCCTTGTCTTTCTACACACACACACACACACACACACACACACACACACACACACACACACACGGTGTACAAGTGCAGGCACCCTGCTCACTAAATTGAACCTGGCAAAACAAGCCCTGAAATACTCAAGATTAAAGGTGAAGGATGGTTCTCACACTGCAGATTTTTGGCAACAGGTGGGAATTGTGGGAAGAAGGCAAGTTGAAAGGAGGAGAAAAAGACAATTGCAGGCATCCTTCCCAGAAAATTTCCCAGGATGTCCTTGCATGTCCAAGTATGACTGACTCCTTGATTCTTGTTTGTCCCTTGCCTGGACGGGTGTAAAGATTCAAAACCAAATTGGCTCTGTTCACTATGGGGAAATATTTCTCCCCTGGTGTCTTCCTAGAGTGTGTTACAACCAACCATGGAAATTTTTACCTTAGTGATGTAAAGATGGCTCTCACCTCTGTTCTTTAACCACAGTCTCACAATTTAGGTGGATGACAAAACTGGACAGAATGAAAAACAAAATAATGGCAGCACCATACCTGAGACAATATATATACAAAATCAAGGAAGAAATGATGAACAGGATGATGTAAAGCAGCACAGTGATCATCACACCAAGTAGTCCTGATTGGTGTGTTCTTACAAACATCCAGTAGAGCTTCGCTGCATCAGCTATGGGAGCCTCCCCCTTCTGCATAAGTCGCTGAGAAAGGAAAACGTAGATTAACAAAAGGAAGAATGGAAACACTGGTCATCAAGTTAGATTAAAGACATAGGCTATATGTTGCTGCAGTGTTTTTAAATTAAATATTTTAAGTCCCAAAAACCGCCAGATCTTCAGCTCCAGAAAGAAAAAATAAGGCTGGATCTTGTGTGCTTAGTTTACTGGCTTTTTTTGTTTTGTTTTGTTTTGTTTCATTTTTCCCCTCTAAGCCTTTATTTTATTTTATTTATTTATTTATTTTGTATTTTAGGGAAGGGTCTACAGGGTGTTCAGGGTCTCACTACTAGTTTAAACTTGTAGTGATCCTCCTGTTTACAGCCTCCCAAGAGCTGGGATTACAGGCATGTGCCACCACGCCCAGTTTCAATTGTAATCTCAGAATGCCCTGGGGGTGGGCTGGCACAGCAGGCCCAAGGATCGAATCCCCAGCCCCTGCACCTGCTTGCAGGAGTTTTAATCCACTGATCTATTTGGCTGGCCTGTCTAAACCTTTAAATGCATGTACTCAGACCATTATTTCAGAAACTTATATAGAAAGAAAAAGTATCAGCCTATTAAATGTGAGCCTGGAAACCAAAGTTTGCATTAAGTTAATTTAAAAATAAGCTTTTGTTTTAGATGAGAAAAACCATTTTATATTGAATTATAAAGAAGCACATGGTAGTGAGTTTTTAAAAAATAAATACAAATTGCTAGGACCCTACAGTATCAGCATAGAACCTCATTGGCCTTTGAGATTTGTAAAACCTGAACATTCTTTAATAGCAGTCATCATAACATCAAACAGAGGTGATATGCAATGAGAGACAAAGGAAGGTATTTTTTTCCTCCAAGACAAAAGGAGAAATAACTTTAGTTTCTAAGCTGACGATTACATAAGTACAGTTTAAGACACTTTTAAAAGTAGCTAATCCAAATCACATATGTGCAGAAGAAAACAGGAGCCTAGACGGGTTAATTTGTATTTTCTCTACACTAAAATATACTATAGTAATTGGGCAATGGCTAGAGTTCAGGTGCGCCAGTCCTCAAGGACTGCTTCTGTGTCTATCACACAGGTTTTATTTTTATTCTCAGCATTTGTTAACCAGCCTCCCCAGCATGGCAAGACCTACTGTGAGGACTCTGAACCGCACACTGATAAGTGCTGTCTCCAAGTGCTGTGTGTCATGTATCCTTCCTTTGCCAGGTCTTACTTTGTATGATTCCTCAAAGATTAAAAAGATGGACAGAGACTTCACTGGTGTTTCAACAACAGAAATGTTACACTGAATGCAAGTAACATGATTGAGGTGGATTAAAGAGCATCCCCAGTGTCCTCCTAGGTGAGGAGATAGGGCTGGATCATGGGGATTCTGGGCTCATCAATGGAGCTCAGAGTTAAATGTGCTGTGAGGAGTTGGGGCCAAGGGCTATGAGGTGGGAAACATGGGTTATGGTTTATCTCACTATTGGGCTCTTCCTTCTCTCTCCCCTTCCTGGTCACTGGCAGATGAGCAGTTTTGCTCACCCCACCCTCTCCACAAAGCTCCTTGCAGCGCAGCCAGAAGATCCTGTACTGGAACTGGAGCCAGGGTAAATTCTGCCGCTCTTCACTCGTGGGTGTTGGGTATTTTGTCCCAGCAACAGGAAGGTGGCTGAGGTAATGATCACAGCAGTAGATGTGGATTGCTCACTGGACCCAACCATACTGGACCCCTCCTAGCTTTACAGTCCGAAGATAAAAGGTGGCATAAAGTTTTTCAAAAACATTGCCATCTTGGAGTTTAATTTTCAATGTGTGTGTGGGGTGGTGGTGGTGGTGAATGATTAGTAAGCATACAAGTAAGACAGAGAATAAACAACATATGCTCCATGAATGAATGCTCAAAGGAAGATAAAGAAAAGAAGGCATCTTTGGCATATTAGCCAGCTCTCTATCAGTGTGAAAGGATTCCTGAGATGAGCAACGTACAGGTGGGAATGGTTGTGCTGACTCAGTTGCAGTGTGTTCAGTCTCTGATTGTTGCCTCCTTTGTTTTCTATCTATGATAAGACAATGCACCATGGTGGGAGTGTACAGTGACATAAGATGCACACTTCATGGTGGCCAGGGAGCAAAGACAGAGCGGAGAAGGGGCAGGGCCCTGCATCCCTTCAAGGCTATACCCTCCTGCCTCACTTCCTCCCCCACACTCCACTCTTGACATTCAGCCCCCTCCCAGGAGTACCACAAGAACCTCTGGGGCACATTCAAGTCCAAGCTATTGCTGGAGCAATGGCTGTGTGCTGTTCAGACAACGCCTCACAGAGGGCAAAGAAGAAAGAGCCTCACTATGTTTTAAATTCTTCCTTGCACCATTCAGGCAAAGACTAGCATCATCCATAGAGCAAAGTCTTCGTGGGTCATGAAGTCATAGTCTTGGGGTGTCCATCTGGCCCCTTGCCTTTCCTACACGGGTGCTCTTCTGTCGATCTGCTTTTGCTGCCATGACCTGAGAAGCAAGGCTCCACCACGTATGTCTGCCATAATGGCTATGTCTGGAGCCAAGGGCTCATGGGAAAAGTAAAGCTCTCTCCCTTAGATCCCTAAGTGTGGTGCACTGTGTCTGAGCAAGGAGAAAGTGACTGAAAGAGAAAGGCTTAGTAAGCACCAGAATCCTTTGCGATCCCTTCCCAGAGTCCCTTGTAGATGCCAGTAGTGTTGCATTTCAGTTCCCAAGTGATACTTGTGCTGCTGGCTCCGTGATCAACCCTTGAGAACCCCTGCTTTACATCAGCACTTCTCAAACTTCAGAGTGCTATCGAGTCACCTAGTGAAAAGACTCAAATGCATATTTAGTTCCATCCAGGGGTATATTCAAGTGCATTTTTATGGGTTCCTAAGGAATTCCAATGCTTCTCTTAGCTTTAGACTTTTTTGAAAGGCACTGGAAGTAGATGTCACCTACCATAAAATGTGATGGATTCTAACTGGAAAACTGATAACTTTGGAGACTTGGAAGAAATATTAAGCATTTATTTTCAAAAACAAAGAGGCACTGGTGCTATATTCATCTTTAAGAATCCAAGTCAGTTCCATCAGGTTACAGGCTTCTCACTGGTGCTAAGGTGGCCATGCTGGAGGCTACTTTCCTAAAGATTGCATTAGAGGCCCCAGTGTAAATTAAGCCTACTCATTTTGTCATTTACCTTGAATACAGTGGATGGGTTGGCCGTTGATCTGCCTAAGGACCTAAGGAATAAGGAATGCCATTCTAGGCGTGTTGCAGATATTCCTTCTGAGAAACCTCTGATGGTCCTAAAGAACAGCTGTTCCTCTCTCCCAAAAGGCTCCCCATATGGCATTGCAGTCGGCTCAGTCCCAGCACCACACCCACTCAATATGCACATCAGGCCTCTGGGAGGAATTGGGAGAAGCCAGGTGACATGGTTCTCCTCCAGTGCAGATGGAGTCCTCTCTACGTCTTCTGCTCAACAAACCTTGACAGCGCCATCTCCCTCTTCCTACTCTGGAAAATGAAGAAGTAAGAATGTAGGCCCAATCTAGCTGGCTCTAGCTGGATCAACCCAGAATCAGGAGTCTAATCATCAAAGGGGGAAAACATTGAGACGGGGAATGAAACACATTTCTGGTTCCAAAGTTTCCTTTTTCTGCAATGTCATCAGGTGATCAGTGAATCTGAGGCTAGAGAGTGGTTGCCAAGGATGTGTTGAGTTTGCCTATACAGTATCCTCGAGCTCTGCTTGGCATGTGGCTTTGGATCCAATCCTAGCAGCAGTGCTAGGAACTAGCTACATGGGTAGGCTCTTTGTGTACTGTTTTAGGGACACTTTCATAATGTTAAATAATCTACATTTTGAGAATTAATAATTGCACATGTTGGCAAGGTCAAAGCTGCTTAGCAGAAGTCATTTCCATTAAGAAATAAGCAGTCCAGATTCGCACATGAAACCTAAAAAGACACCAGTGGACTCAGAGCTTCAAAGACACCAGTTTGGTTAAGAGCATTCCAGGAATGCCCAGCAAGTGAAAGCTCAGCCCAGCAAACAGCAAAGGGGGAAAACGTCTTTATAGTAAAATAGCTAGCATCTTGTTATCCAAGACGTGGCCCAGAGAGCTAAAATCCTGAAGGAACCGTGGGAAATGTAGAACAACTGTCCCCACTAGTGAATTAGAATGGGCATTTTAATAAAATCCCAGGGAACCAGTGAGCACCTTAAAGCCTGAGAAGCACTGGTCTCACACACCATAGTCTGAGGGAGAGAACTTGCCAGTCTGAGCTGCCTCCTGTAGCGCTCAGAACATAGAATGTCTCCATGAGTGTAGTTGGGACCGTACTTTGGTTTTTAGGTCTAAGGACACATTGTTCACAATGGAGTCAGTGTCAGACGCAACAAGCAGCATCCAACTAAATACTCATGTTTGATCTACTTGGAAGAGTGAGCGTTAGCTAAACCCATATACCGAATATACCAAGTGTGAAACTTTAATTTCCACTTGCATTGTGCACATGATATTATTGCATAACATAATTTTACAAGTGAATATTTGGCGATTTTGATGAATATATAGTTTCCATGTAGTCCTTTGCTTAGAGTTTTATTTATGACAATGTGTTCCATATAAATATTTGGCTAAAATTCAGATTTCTCTTCTTTTTAACCTATCAAAGTTACTTAAATGTTTGTTGATGTCATGTTAAAGTATGTTTTTGCTTGAATTATTCCACATTTTTCAGAAGCTTTAATTTTCTTTTGGTCATGTAATATACAACTCTGTACAACTTAATGGATCTTAGATGAAGTTGCTGAGGAGCAGGACAGGGTTTGTGGTTGCAGGGAGAGAAGTAGATGGTGCCTCAGTTTGCCCCACTGCACCTCGCTGTGCCCCACTGCACCTCGCTGTGCCCCACTGCACCTCGCTGTGTCTCACTGTGCCGAGCTGTGTCTCACTGTGCTAGGCTGTACCAAGCTTCAGCTCTCCAAACCATGCTGCATTCCTCGGTCCTCCACGTCTGCTCATCATAGCCTCCCTATGCTGGCCACTGTCAGTGGTCTCAGACTGTGACCTTCAGAACAGCAAATGTATTTCTGTTAGAAATACAGACTTGAACTTATTCCTCATCAATGGAAAGAGAAGCTCTGGAGTGAGGACCAGCGATCATTGTTTTGGCAAAACCTGTGATAGCATCTGATCCCGAAAAAAGTTTAAGAATCACACATTCCAAAAAACACTCACTAGGAGATCTCTTGCCTTACAAATTTAAAGAACTAGAAATGTCAATCTGGCAATAAATTCACACTAGTACATAATGATTTCAATTCTACATGATAATATAACCCAAAACTCACTACTAAATTAAATATTTTGATAATTGTGTAAATGTCATCTGGGACAGTATATGCTTGGTTTCACAAAATTTGAAGAAGAGACTTTGATGTAAGACATGCCAATCTCAGAATTAAGAAATCTGGGTCTCATTCCTAGGCCAAGCGGGGGCTCTCGGTATGGCCTTGGGCCAATGATGGAATTCTCTGTGACTGGCTGCTTCCTTCCAGTTGTAAAATGAGAGTAGTATTTGCCCAGCAACTTATAGTGTTATTGTAAGTATATAATAAAATAAATTATGGGAAGATGTTTCAAAAATACAAAGCACTTTTCAATATTTCAATAATTCCTTGTTTTATAAGTGTTTATTTACGATAGATAACATTACACTTACCTTGATTATATTAGGCAACCAAGATATTTTATGAGGAAAGACTTAATAATTATAGTTTAAGATACATACTGAACGTTCATCATTGTTGAAACTTCCTATGTCAACAGATTCATGCACTAAAGCTAAATTCTATGTCAAGGACTCATATCCTGATGATTTTGTTTGACTTACCCCCAGGAAAGTATCCACTATAAATACCGCCAATGGGTCTAGAACTGTCCATAGTCCCATGGCAATGATTAACTTTGACAAGATCTCAGGGCAGGAGGCAAACAGCAGCTGACAGCCCCATCTGATCAGAACCAAAAGAAATATGACCGTGTTCAGCATTAAAGGGCCCACCGCGACCACAGCCAGCTCTTCTGCGACACTAAGCGAAGACGTTGGGTAGCAAAGCTCAACCGTGTAGGGGCGAACATGGAATCTGAGGAAACAAAGTAGGAATCATACATTCACAAACAAGAAGAGCTGAAATTCCAAGCTTACAGCACTACTCACAGGACTATGTGATTTTTTTTTTCTTTCAACAAAAATATAGAGAATTTAACACTTAACAAACCTTGATACAAGAACTTTAAAAAAAATTGACATGAAATCAAATGTCAAATGTCTTCACCCTTCCGTGGACATTTAACAATCAAGGAAAATGCAAGCTCATCATTTTTAACAGGAAATGAAAATTATTCTAGCACAGAAAATACATTAAATTGACCCAGGGAAGAGAGTGGTCCATAGACCCAACTGCTTGGCTGCCATTTACGGTACTTATTCGTAGGCCGTTTTAAATGTGTAACAGTGGACTCTCTGTGTCCACCCCTAATAACAATGAAATATAGATACCCTATACATGTAGTAATTCTTCAGGGCTTTATGTGGCTGAATGACTTCACCTTCAGTTCCTCTCTAGGTAGGCCCCAAATGCACCAATAACACCACCATCACTAACAACCAATGTTTCACTTTCTTCAGTCTAATGAGCTCTGGAACTCAAGCCCCTGGACTCAGCATTTTACCCCATCTCTCTGTGCAAAATGAGACCTCAGACCACTGAGATTTCTGTCCCTGAATTTCAGCTGGTGGAAAGCTGTTTCATAATTAATCTCCTGTTGTGCATTTTGTTTATCAGTGGCCTACCAAAGAGATCTTCATTTATTATATTCCTTTACTTTGATTTCTAAGTAAGGATTTTGGTGTTCGTTTGCTTTAGCAGTGCTAAGTATTAAATCCAGTGCCTTTGCACAGAGCTGCAGTTTCCCCTTTTAAAAGGATGGGTTTCTGTGTGTTTTGCTTTGTTTTGTTTTTGAGTTTTGAGACAGTCTTGGCAAAATATTGCTAAGTTGCCCTGACTGGCTTTGAACTTCATATCCTCTTGCTTCAGAGAACTGGATTACAAGCCTACACTACCACATCTGGTTGTAAAGTATATGTTTCTGTCCATAGCTATTGTGAATATCAAATAAAGCATATTTCTTAGCGCTGTACCTGCCACCTGGGGAGAACAAAAGAAATGTTCACGGCTGGCATTGTTATTACTATAGGTCACAGATAAGATGTGACATGGAGCTACTGTGTGCTTCACAACTGAGGACCAAGACGACAACCAGAAAAATACCTTGTTATACGTTAGGTCCTCTGCTGCTTACGGAATTGGTTCGAACTGGCTGTTGAGATATTTCTTGTATTCTCATTTTGACTAACAGCTAATAAAGATAAGGCTTTCTTTTTCTATTAAAGAATAAAGGAGGTAATATTTTAAAAAGCCCAATCATGCAATATTCATCTTTTCTGCTTTAGAATCCTTCAGATAAACAAGAGAAACAAAGAAGAAAATGAACAAAAAGACAGAAGAAAATGAAATATCAGAATACCCAGCAATATCCATGTAGAAAAGCCCCCCTAGAAAATGCAGTGATCTAGTAAATGTATATGTGATGTCTACAACACATTCAGGTATTTGCAATTTACTACGAAAATATATGTATATGTTCCTTTTCATTAAGTCTTACAGTCTTAATGTCCTTAGTTGAAAATAAAAACGCATCTTTGTTTTTATCCATATCATCTACATTTGAGAAAATGAATTTTACTTGTACTGTTACCTATCTGTTTGTCTATCTACAATGCCTAGAGAATTATGTTTATAGAGCGATAACCTTTAAAGTGTCATCTTTTCCCACAGCATAATGGCCCAGAAAGCTGCCTGGGCTTGAGTTCAGTAATTGTCTGAATTCAATCATTTTGTACAAAAAGCAATCTTTGCTTCTCTGAGCATAGGTAATAAATCAGACTCAGGTTTCTTCTAAAATACCTTCAGCCTAAGTTACTCTGATAAAATCAAAACAGAATAGAACATTGGTGCTAGGACCCCTTTTTGAATTCTGTTCAGCTATTAGAACATATTTGAATCTGCTCAGTTTTAAATAAATATTGATGTACCAGTTATGTATTTGTATATATAGGGACAATAGTAAAATGAAACTGCAACTGTAATAGAAGTTCTTGTTCCCAGATAAAGATATTTGTGTCCTTTCAAATCATACCCGCACTTCAGGTCCTCCAGTCAAGGGCCCGGAGAGATGTGTTATGCTTACACTGGCCTATCAGTACAAGGAACATACATCCTTCTGAGTTTCCGAGGAATTACTCACTTTGTCACTGGAGTTGAGATGGCCTGGAGGAAAAGCCACTGGGCAAAGTAGTGCAGGCAGAGCCTCAGGAAGCAGAGGGAAGTCCCCAGCAGGGCGGAGCAACAGAAGCCCTGGCTCTGCCACTGTGCCAGCTGCATCTCTGAAGACACCGACGCCCTCACAAAGTGGAGATGCTTGCGGAGCGCTCCAGGTCCACCGTGACCCGCCATTGAAAGGCCACTACAGAGAAAGAAAACAGATACGTTCTGCACGCTCTGGGTCTTCGGTATCTCCTAGTGGGTCATGTGTTGACAGCTCGGACCCCAGCTACTGGTGTTGTTAGGAGATGGCAGAAACTCCTGGAGACGGGACCTAGTGCAGGTGCGGGTCACCGGGGCGCGCCCTGGGAGGGGATCTTGGGTCACTGCCCCCGGCTCTCTCTCTCTCTCTCTCTCTCTCTCTTTCTCCAGTCAAGTTGAGATGGCCTGGAGGAAAAGCCACTGGGCAAAGTAGTGCAGGCAGAGCCTCAGGAAGCAGAGGGAAGGTTTCTTCTAAAATAGGTTTATCTAAACTAATGAAAAGAAACAGAAGAACCAAACTCACAAAATCAGAGATGGTATAGGAAATATTACAAAAGATATCACTAAAAATCATTGTATCATTAGGCTATTTTGAAATATTTTGAATGACTCTTTCCCCACTTGCTGTCTCCTGGGCGGCTTTGTGGTACCATGTGCCTTCCACCATCACGCTCTGCCTCACCACAGGTCCGGAAACAATACCAAATACCCTGTACAGGAACCTCCGGGACCATCAGAAAGAACAAACCTTTCCTCCTTGAAGTTGCTTTTCCCAGGTATTTTGTCACAGCAATGGAAAGCGGGCTGGCACATATTCTGAGATTGCAGTACAACTCCAAAAATACTCTGCTGACCATTGCGATAGAGAAGTGTGGAAATAAGCTGAATGAAATGATTTTAAAAATGTGATAATTGAAAATATTTATGTTTCTTTTTGTGATGACTACAGGGAGCATGGATGGGGCAAAACAAATCAAAATCACAATGAGATATGGTGAGGTAAAAATAAGAAGAAAATAACAGTTACTGGCAAAGATATGGGGAAACTGGAATCCTTGTGCATTATTAACAAGAGTGTAAAACGATTTAGACTCTCTGACACATACCACTAAAATTAAAATACATAATTACTATATAATCAAGAAATGCTAAAACCAGACATTGAAAGCAGCACATGAAATTGCAAGTAGGCTGTTTGAATGGTATTTGCATGTCCCAGCACTAGCTACAAGAGTCAACATGGAAACAAAAGAGTCCGTGGATGAATTAATGAAAAACTGTAGTGTACATAAAATAGAATATTATTCAGCTTTTTTTTTTTTAAAAAAAAAAGAAATTTCAACATATGCTATGACCTGCATAAACCTACAAGATGTTATACAAAATAAAACAATCTAGTCACAAAAAAAGACAAATATTGAATGATTCTGCTTATACGAAATAATAGAAGTCAGTAAAATCGTAACAGAAAGTTGAATGGCAATTTCCCAGGCTTAGGGAAAGGGAATTGCTGGGAGGTTCGGTTTCATTGGTAAAAGTTACAGCATCACAAGACAAAGCATTTCTGGAGACTGGCTAGAAGGCAACATGGATACACTTGCTGCTGACCTGTACATTTAAAATAGTTAAGGTGGTCAATTTCATGTTATGTATATCATAATCTTATTTTAAAAGTTTAATAAGGCATGTGGAAATAAATTTTAAAATAACTTATTTTTAGAAAAAAATTTGAAAACTAACATATGTTCCTGTTTATTTTACTTGCCTATAGTATCATCTCTTCATGAAGGTTTGACTCATGTGTGCGTAGTCTGTAAAAGACCAACTAGTTCATGTTCAAAACTAGAGGATTACTAACTCATCATTAAAATACATGAATAAAAGTTATTTCATTCCTGAAAAAATTATAGGTATTTTGTGTCAAAATAAATATAAAAGAATCCCATGAAAGTTGTTCTCATTTAGCTCTGATTCCCACGCTGTGATTAGATTAGTGTAGGGAGCAACTGATGTTTTCACAGTCTACAAAGTTATAGATTTTTTTGAGAAAGAAGATAAAACAAGTGCACAATCAGACACAATTTATCCAAGAGTATGTAGAGGGAATGCAGAGCTACCACAGTGCAGAACGTGAAAGCGCTTCACCTGAAAACCTGGGGAACATTCCCTCTGCCTAAATTTCCCCTTTCAGTAAAAGGAAACAGTAGCTCTTCCCACATCCCAGGGTCAGCCTGCCCCTGGGTGAGCCGCTGGAAAACACTTTGAGTCCCACACAGCCACCGATGAGATCCCTCTCCTTTCTCTTCTCCCACTTACCAGTGCCACACTGAAACCGGACAGGTGTTCATCATGCCCCACAAATACAGAAAATCCACATTAATGATATTTTTTATATTTCCTGTTTTATTTTTTAAGAGTTATATACATGAGCATGCAAATATTTGTTACTTAATGGAAGCAGTTCAGATCCTGAGCATGTATCTTGTGACAAATTAAACCAGGACTTGAACTTTATAGGAACTAGCCTCCCAGTTCCTGGGATAGCTTGTCTAATTCTATTTTAGAGTGATTTTCTGCAGTGATTCATTAAGTTCATCACCAAAAATAGTGCTAATGATAAACATACTTACCGAAGCAGAAACTAGCACAAGAATAAGTAGTTCATTCTACTTAGTTACTAATCTCTGCTCAGCAGGGCACAAATGGAATGTATAGACATATGATATATATACATATATCTCTACATTTGAATGCAGTTATATTAATCCACATGTGCAGAGCATGACATTTACATTCACCTCAGCAAATAGATACACCACATATTTAACATATTTTAATTTATTTTATTCCCCTTCCCACCCATCTTTCTCTTGTGATCTCTAAATTGCCTTTCCCCACTTTCATTATTATTGCTATTGTTGTTTTTTAGTTTGTGCTTGCAACATACAAATAATGTGTTTGTTGTGGGTAGCTGGTACATGTATGGTACATGTCTTCATCTTCCTTTTAACATCCTTTCTGAAGACTGTCAAGTACTATGGCAGTGTTGGCAAGCAAGAGAAGATAAACAATGGAAACAGACGTCTGGTGACAGTGATCTCAGCAAAGAGAAGAGAACTCACATCCATGGAAGAGAACTCACACCCTTAACTCTAGATTTTTTGGTCTGCAGAGGTCTAATGAGTCACCAAAACTGTCACTGGCAGTTCCTTTGTGTTATTCTTGCCCATACTTTGCATGGAGATGTGGAGTCTCACCTAACTGAAAACCAGTCTCCATACTGAGTTTGTTTTTCAGTTAAACAAATTGAGGGCCAGTCAAACAGCAAGCTGGAACCCACCTCCTCCAGTGCCCCATACCCCACGGGTTTTGTTTATATACAGTTTCTAAGTGTCCTATAGAAACATCCCAGAGCACCTTACGGTACGTGCCATCATGTGAAATCAAATCCAGAGCTGTTTACACTGCTAAGGCAAAATACTCCATACACGATCTCTTTTTTCAGTTAATTATTCTGTCACTGTTTTGCTTCTTCAAAGAGAAGGGAAAATCAAATGCAGATCTGCCATTGTGTTGTTTGTAAAACACTGGAAAATCTCAAATGATGCAAATCAGAGAAGACAGTAGCTTTTTTGACCTTTGGAAATTTCCACTTGTTTTCATATCCATTGACTTCAATGACTAAGTAACTGTGCTTATGCTCCAAAACCGCTATAAAGTCATGCTTTTAACATTTGTTTTACTAATAAAAGGCTTCTAAGCCACCCTTAGAAACCTTTATTTGTTTGTCTGACTTTGATTTAGAACAAAATAGTACTAAATTTGACTATGTAACATCTATATTTAGTTCAAACTATTCAATTGCCTCATCTCTTCAAACACAATTTAGTATTTATTTTTATTTAACATTGATATTGATATTATTTTTAATATTGATAACTAGAGCAGGTGCATTTAAAGAATTAAGAAAAAATTTTAATCAGTCCTTTGGAGTTTTAAATTTTACATGTTACAAAATTAGAAAGCATTAGAAGAATTAATTGATTATAGACAATTCCAAATAAAAGCATCAAAAACTACATTAATTGAAGAAAGTTATATTAGCCTCATAAGCAACACCTGTATGACAACAACTGTGGTAGTTCTTTTATTTTGATAATTTTGAATTTGTACCTGAAATCTCAAGGTGGTCTGATAGGGAATTTTATTGGCAGCTATCTCTATCAAACATTTTTAAGTAAATTTCATTCATAAAGAATTCTGCTTCATGTTTTATAACTGTCTTTGCAGAGAGCACCTTTGTTATTGCCGTAAACATGCAAGGCACATTCTGAAATGCGGTGGTGCTGCAGACCATCTTCAACTACATCTCAACTGTTCTCTCTTCCTCTGTAATCTTTCTTGGTTATGTACAAAGAGTATGACCATCAAAAGGGTAACAAATGGCCTCTGCCACTGGGGTGTGTAATACGCAGAGTGGGAATTGATTTCTTGGTTATGAGGGAAGCCATAGAGCACACAGATCACTGCAAAATCACACTGAGGCCAGCAGCTACTCCTCAGTTCATGCAGACATCTCTTCTGTTGCTTACGGTGTGAGCTGCCAGAGGGTGAGTGGCATGTGAAGTCCATCCAGTATTCAGCTTTTAAATGAAACCTATTTCTCTGAACTTCAGTCACAGTTCACACGATACGCACAGATCCCACCTTCATGGCCAGTCTTCAGAGAGATCCAAAATCAAACAAGATTTCTGTGATCCATCAGTGTAATAATAATAAAAGACTGAAATTGCTTTGGAATAAAGTATGGAAGGTACTCTTCAACTCTTTTCTATAATGCACAGAAATCCTAGGACTTTGTATGAAATGAAGATTTGTTACTCATCAGTTGTGAATAATAATCCTTATTTTTAAAATCACTACCAATAGATGGCACTAAAATTTCCATATTCTCTTCTTCTGGCATAACCAAATGTATTGCAGATGTATCATTAAAAAAAAACTAAGATTTTTAAAAGTATGTAACTATTAGTATTTTATTTGAATAATTTTGCAATTTTCACCATGTTCTATTAATCAGCAAATTTTGAGATGCCTGTCTACAGTGACTCTGAAGCTTTCTAAGAGTCAGATTTTCAGGAAGTGAGTAAAAAAAAAAAA